ATGGCTCTCATAATCGCTGTAGTGAGTCAGGAAAGATTGATGGGAAGAAGTGGTCAGTAAATTCCCGTTTGAACCTTGGGCCAAGTGAGTCGACAATGTAAGATATGTGCTGAGTCAATTCGGGCCGGTGTTGACAAAATACTGTTACTATCGAATGTTCCATATATTCGCTTGCTGACCTACTAAGTAGAGTATCCACCTCTGTGGTACGGATCGGGTCTGCGTCGTGAAGTGCCGCGGAATTGGTTAGTGCAGAGTACGAAATACCGAGAAAGACCAGTTTATCCGTCATAATCCGGTCGAGAAGCGAGGGTGGGGGTAAGCCAATGCCGCACCAGACCACGGATGAATTCGGTATGTGTTGGCTGGCCTGGATCGGAAGTATCATAGTTGGAACCAATAAGCGCGACAATAGTACGAGGAACTTAAGTCTCCTAAATGTGCTCTTAATAGCACGAGGAACTTAAGTTACCTAAAATGGTTTTTAATGGTTTTATTAATTAAACCTTTTCCATTTAACACATCAGATATTTGGATGAGGCCATTAAAAGGCCTCAGTAAAATACCAAACACAAAAGAGTTGGTCTAGTTCTATTAATAGAGCTTTATTTGCTTTCCAATTTTATTTATATCTGAATACTTCGGTAGCGAGATGGCTCAACCGAATATAGGTTTCTAGGGACTATTAACGTTACCTAGTGGATCCTCTGATAAGCCAACCAGATGTGCCAGTCTGATGAAGGCTAAGTCGGTAATTCTTGATAGTGGCAAGTTATTGATTAAGACAATAATTAAAGACGTCAAGAGTATTTTTATTCTTATTTAGTTTTTCTAAAGATAGGATTTTATGAGTCTATCGGATTCGCCCCAGAATAGAGCGACAACGAAACACTAAATAAAATCCCTTCGGCGGAAACAGTACTGAGAGGATTATATATGGGCAATGTCTCAGCCTCACAATCCCTCAGTATTGCTGTTTTCACGAGGCAAACCAACTTTATTAAACGTCTCATTTCGTTTATTTATATCGATGTTTACACGTTATATAGAATTTACCTACGCGTTTATTTATTCTAAGGCATTAGTATCGCCTTTATTAGACCGAATCTTACACACATACACATCCTTTGGAGTTGCCAACTATCATGTATACAACAACTAGGAGCAAACAAGGAGGTGATCTCGTGACATGTACTGATTTAGAACCAGGCAAAAATTTCGTGCAGCCTATGCATTTGAATTCCATGTAAATCGATACAGATTTGATACTGTCACAACCACCCGTACATTTACACAACCACGACCTATTGTAACGCAATGCGTGGCAATAGATATCATAAAGGAATACTCCATCTGAACAAAACTTTAGCAGTATTAAGTCAATCGACGAATTTATAATCCAAGCCTAAACCCAAGACCACTCTTGAATATTGTCCAACGTACACAGGATCAAAAGAATAGCTTTATGTGAAAAAGGTATATCATGCAAGGTCTTGTAACATATGAATAAACTAGAGTCTGCAAAACATAATACGGATTTCGTGGAAATACAAATAGGTGACCAGTTCATTGACACTAGTCAAAAATATGGACCGCACGCTGAACAAGATACATGATCGAGAATAGCATCACTCGTGACAACTTCGTCAATCCAGAACGTGGGCAAAAATAAACGCATTAAACTCGCACGCGAATCAGAGCTCTATATTGGCAGTCACAAACTCAACGTTTTTGCCATGTGTTCGCTGTGTTGTATTCAAGCTTGATATATCATGGGGTCGGAAATACACAATATTACTTTTCCTAATACGTATCTGTAACAGAAGATCCTATCAATGATGTATTGAAACTAGTTTGTCAGGCATGGGACCACGGACAAAGACACCCCACCGAGTATACCGAAAACCGATTTAATCCTCAGAGACAAAGTAATTCCACAAAAGGGTAATCAATAGCGGATGTATCGCATCTCATCCCAAGAGGCTGTTTAATATCTACTCGATAGACCTGTTTTCTACTTGTCTTTACCACGCGGTGTATACAAGCCTCTTTTGCATAACTTCGGGACGAACTCTTTATCGGATTCTTTTGACTCCGATTGTGATTTTCAACCGACAACGTATTTGCTGATATATTTCAATGCGTCAAGATTTACGCTATTAGATATACACGAAGGGTGAAAACAAAAAGTTGTCATTAAAATGACTAAAGTACCTGTATGTATATTTAACCACTATAGATTCGACACATATTACTGCAATTTGAAATGATTTTTTTTCTTCCAAGTTCAATGCATCAATAAAGGTATCTGCCATATCCTTCAAAGATAAAAAAAAGGAAGTTCCTGAATGGTTGTGTACCGTCCAAATCACGTGGTTGGCGTTCCAACAGCATATTTTGATTCCAGCAAAGGCATTCATTGTACAATTTCTAAGTTGTTTAACTTCGTTCCAAATTTGCTATACCACAGTTTGCTGCTGCGAGTTCATCCTCTGTTCTTCATTTATACACTCTGGACTCAAACGATCCCACTTGCACCAACCTATTTGCTAGATTCGTAATACCCATTTACCGCCCTTAGGATGTTTATTCGTATCGCCTTGCTTACACATTCGATGTTCACGGCTTGAATGCGTAATTGTGCCACCTTCCATTGCCTCAATTAGTAATCACTCCTCGTTCGAGTACTACACTAGCTTGTATTCCGAGCATCAGTCGTGAAAATACAGAAAACGTGCTCTATTCAATTGAACACCTCGTAAAAAACATCTTTCCAACACCCTTTCCAACACATGCAAAACCATACATACTCATATAGCAATAACTTTCCTTCCCTATCTGCTAATGCAGAGATACTAGCTCACACCATGGCTCGTGTACAAGAACTCGATAATGTATAAGACACTACAGATCTTGTCAATTGTGAATACATCATTCAGTCCCAGACAGCATTTTTTTTTACTACCTTCAATCAGAATAACACACAAGCAAGACAAGTGCAAAAATTTAACTACATCCTTGCGTCATCCATCAAAAATACTTTTGCTGTCAGCTCATTACCAAGTCCAATAGTTGACGATGCGAATCCGCCCGAGTCTAACGCTACAAATATACATCTCAAGCTGAAAGTTTAATCATATTCGATTAATAACAAGGATCCCGACTTCTTGATCATTGATCTACGATTGGACACCCAAAAAACTTCAATTGTAAGCAACCTACTAGTATTCCTTCGTGATAAAGAACGACAAGATTCACGTACTGTATTGATCCCTAATTCGGACAACACTTATATTTCACCTACCCACACCCACCCACACACACGTGTACATACACACACACACACACACAAACACACACACACACAAACACACACACACACAAGCACACACAAGAACACACACACAACTCGCTATACTCGAATGTGCGATAATCGTACGCCGATATGTTTTCCCTGAGTTGCAAATGGTCCTTGATATCCATCGTCAACGTGTTTGTATGCTCACAGACTGCTCTTGGAAGACAATTGCCATATCGTTAAGAACACTTTCAACCTTATATAAATTACCACTGGGGACTAAGAATATCGTACCTGTATTAATCTTCTGCTCGGACACATGAGTCCTCTCTTCGTAGGGTACTTTAGAAAGGATCGTTACCCCTCCCCCCCCCTTCTCAGTCTCGTGTTGATATGGTCACCATCGCCTCCAAGGTCAAAACCTCCACCTAAACCACCGTCTTCCGTATTTTTATCGCGTCAGGCTTGCGTTCCCGTATGCGTTTCTCATCCTCAACGCAAATTGCGCAATGAGAACTTTACAACTTGGCTTATCGACGAGGGTCACCCCCGATGGCGTGCCAGTGTTTTCGGACTTGTGCTTGCTTTGCATCTGTGTTTGCCATCGTCGTTGCCTTTTTTGTGAGTAGTATCTACCACATCCATCTTATCACCGTAGTTTGTGCAATGAGAATTATTCGATTAGGCTGGTCGACGTGGGGTCACCCTCGATGGTCTGTCAACATCTACAAAAGCTACGCCAATTTTATTATTTTTAGTAGCCTTACCTTTTATTAGTGAAGTCTTTGGTGTAATATGGTCTGATTTCTTACGATTACCCATTGCATCAAAAATCCATTGCATCGAATGTGTCGATGGAATCCATTGCGTCGATTGCATCGATTGTATCGATTGCGTTTGCACAACTTAACTATAATTCACTTGTAATGTTGTAAATTGAATACATATATAAATGATAGGCTTGCACCATCAGTTTATTACATGGCATTCAACCCCTGCTTACACACAGCTTACACACATCTCGCAATGGTGTATGCGGTGGATGACATGGCATAGTGTGATATATGTTGTCGAGTCCGTTATGAAATAAACGATTACGTGTGGTAAACTGTAGCGATTGTTGGATGGTGAACAATGTTGGGTATCGACGGGGTGAGCAACAGGGTTGGACATAGTGGTAAAAATATATGCTCAGGTTTGTGGGTCGCTGGTATGCAGAGGTTTAAAGGACGTGAAAATAATGTTAAGTATAGTGGAGGTGAGCGAGAGAGTTGGCCATAGCAAATATGTTAGTTTGGGTTGGCCATAGTAGGGTGTTGCGGGGGGGGGGGGGGGCGGCGCGCACGGGGGAGGGGGGGTTTACTAGTGTTAGGTTTATTGGAGGTTGGCGAGACGGCGACAGTGAATACTGGTCATATTAGAGGTTACCTTTTTTAAAAGAGTGCGAACAAATACGATAAAATCCTATACTCTTTATAAACCCTACCTCTCAACAGTTAGTAGTTGACACTATTCTACTTTTATACACAACCGGCTATTAATCCGACAAGAATGTTATGGTATATTCATTATTGTATCTTGTACCCGGAGTCGTTCGCTTGGCGTTTCAAGTTTACTGTTTGTCGACGGCATTGCTGCTGGGAATATATATGCGGTATTGAGTGTAGGGCTTCAGGTTCACGGATGACAATATAGATGTGGACGCACCTGAAAGAAGGACTATAGCATCTGCATTCAATTATCAGTCAAAAACTCGAGATAATTCCCTATAAACATTAAATAATAACCCGCACCTAATATAGATGATACGAGCCTTTCACTCTCGACTTTTTCCGGCGCATTGCTTAGTTAGTTGAAATCAAGTGCCGACAACTAAACAGTTGTGTATGCTTCACAGCCGAACTTGGTTCTCCATGTCTGGCCACCGATTTTTCGATCTTGCAATGAAAATTGGGACTTACTTTCACATATTTTCAGGCCAACCTTTTAAAAGGCGACGACTGTATTCCGGTCACCTGCCGAAATCAAATCAAATCCGCTCTTTGCGCTTGCTAACGCATAAGTTTATTGATTTAAATGGTGACATTTTGAAATAATGAAGTCACGGGTGTAGCATTGGTTCTCAGTTCTTCTCTCCAGACATATGTGCAGCTTGGAGCGCTGTTATCACGACGGTATTCACTATATCAAGTACTGTACATCCTCTGCTCAGATCGTTAACAGGTTTGCGAAGACCTTGTAGCACTGGTCCCATTGCGATGGCACCTGGCATGTGATATGGAAAGGTTGTTACTTATCAGTAATGTCCATCTTAAGCTTTCAAAACTCGATGAAGCTCACTGGCACTTCTACACGTACTGATAACATATTGAAAGTCTTATACAATAACCGAGTACTGGATAATATATCAAAGTCTTGTACTGTAAGCAGATTTGTGCATGTCAGTGATTGCAGCACCATCTATACCCACGTACGCACAGGAAAATCATGACCGCCCCATAACTATTATTAATGGACAGTTACGAACACGAACACACACTTGTCATAGCAGTCAACATATTTGATATATATGTGTACCGAGAACCTATATTGGTACAAAGAGAGCCACGGTTGTAAAGCAGACATATAAGCCTGTAATCATAGAAACACAAGCCTGTAACTAGAGACACACAAGCCCGTAGTTAGAGGTGTTGCAACGGATACAAGAATGACTGAAAGCAAAAAGGTGTGATGAGTCGAAAACGGTATTAGTTTAGTTTGTTGCGTGTCCGCCGGGATACCAATCTATATCACTCGCTGAAGAACATCAACACACACATATCCAAGGCACCCTCTACAGGCGCTGGGAATGGAAAGACACGAGTGCACACACCAACACACTCGCCTGTCAAGGGACTCGCACCACAGCTAACCCCCAGCCCCCACAACACACCCGCACGCAGCAACAACAACTCCCTTATCTCTGCATACCTGTGGATTGCTGCACGGCTTTGTACGTGTTATTGCCTGTGTTGAGATCCGGGAATATCAGCACATTAGCCTTACCAGCCACCTTGCTTTCGCCCTTGATTTTAGTCTTGGCGATCTCCGGGTCAACCGCAGCGTCGTACTGTATGGGGCCCTCGATGGCCAGCTCTGGTGCGAGTTTCTTCGCCAATTCGCATCCCCCACGGACCTTCTCGATTATCGGACCTGGCGTATATTCAACAGGGTTTATACATACACGTTTTATAACAGGATATATGCATACACGTTTTATAACAGGATTTATACATACACGTCTTATAACAGGATTTATACATACACGTTTTATAACAGGATTTATACATACACGTTTTATAACAGGATTTATACATACACGTTTAAGGTTCGGTAAGAAGCCGGGGCACACTGTACGTGTGACGATAACTGCGGCACGGACTGACATGTGGTGATTCTATATATTCGAGTCTTGGGTGGCGTACGACTACAAAGTCAACCGCTACAAGGTTTAAACAACCTACATAAATATTACAATCATACACCATTTGTGGTAACTTTAATAGAGTTTCCGATAGCGTACGACAATATAACCGCTACAAGGTTTAAACAAGGTAGATAAAACCGCAACCGGACACCGTTTGCCGTACCTTGATTGAAATATCCTGCGGCATACGACAATATAGTCAACTGTTGAGAGTCTAAGCAATTTACATAAAAATAACAACCAGACACCATTTGTCGTACCTTTATTCGAATCTCCGGTGGCGTACGACAACATAGCTACGCGGGGGTCCAACCCAAAGACTTTCGCAGTCTCTGCTGATGAGATGGCGATCATTGCCAGTTCTTCTGATGTAGGATTTACATTAATCGCACAGTCACCATACACGAGCACCTATATGACCCCGCGTCATGGCATATGTTAGTCAACAAGAAGTGACGTATATATATGTATATATATATATCACACACACACACATATATATATATATATATATATATATGTGTGGGTGTGAGTGTGTATATGAACGGATATGTACCAAGTTGAATAATGAAATAGAAAAATCTTAATTATATACATATATATATATATGTAGAACAAGTTCATCGTAATACATAAACATTATTAAAAGAACATGTCCAATAACAGCCAAAACCATAGTCCTACTTCATAGCAAGCGCGTAATCATACATAATCACTTTCTCAGAAAACAATACGAAACATATCCAATAACAGCCCAACCCATAACTCTCCTTCTTACCAAGTGCGTTGTACCACACACGCACCTTATCAGGCAGCAACATGAAGAAGACACTCGAGACGACGGGTCTGTCTGGTATTGATTTGATTATCTGAAGTGCCGGTCGGATAGTGTTGGCTGTGGTGTGTATCGCGCCTGAGACCATGCCATCTGCATCACCCGCCTGTACCATCAACGTACCTGCAAAGGGTATATGTGCCAGTATGGATTGGGTTGTTTAAGAAGAGTTTATAGACATTGGGGTGGATTGGGGATCGAGAACACATGTTTCATTTAGGAATTTAGGATGAAGAGCATGTGTTTAATATAGGATTAAGGATATGTGTTTTCAATCTTGAGAAAATAAATCGTTCGTTATATTGAAGATTAGAAGCATGGTTTATTATCAAGTATACGAGCTTTATTCAAGCTTAGGATAATATACGTTTCATTTAAAATAAAAGGCATATGATTTTATTTGAGATTAAGACCATATATTTAGGGTCACATGGCATACAAGTGATAGTAATTACAGTTCGGAGTACCGGAGGGTGTTGCAGTGTATTGCCTGTGGTAGATTTGCTTTTTATTGGTACCGTCAAAGACGAACTATCCCCTGCCTGCACTATACTATCAACGTACCTACCTATGCTACAGTACAAGAGCACACGCATCACATGCACACAAGTCTGAACACAGATATAATCTGCAGTACGTTTCAGTTGCAGTTCATTGGTTGCATCTGTTGTTGCTTGAAACAAAGTACCACCAGCGCAGTAGCTGGCAGATCCCCTCCCACAGGGTGCCTCGAAAAGATAGGACTTAGTCTAACAGTTGTATACCGTCATTGTATGTGACTCGCATAGTGTGTGTATGTTTGTGTGTAGGTAGGTATATGTATGGGCGTGTACCTACACTATATGTACCTATAGTGATCACCTAGCATCATATGTTCCTATGGTGGTCATAGGAACATATGGTGATCAGATAGAACTTATCCTAATAGTCATACTCATGGCCCAAGGGTCTCAAACAGTATACATATGGTGCTTGTGTATAGATAGGTGTATGGGCGTGTACCTACACTATATGTACCTATAGCGATCACTTAGCACCATCTGTTCCTATAGTGGTCATAGCAACATATGGTGATCAGATAGAACTTATCTTAATAGTCATACCCATGGTCCAAGGGGTTCAAACAGTATGTATATGCTGCTTGTTTGTAGGTAGGTATATGGGCGTGTACCGTGTTCGTATAGAAAGCATATATTTGTCGGCTACCTACGCATCCATACAAAAATACTATGGCTGAATGCATACGAATACATACCGGAACGAACTAACACTTCAGTACAGATATACTATGACTAAAGATATACGTATATAAACCTGTCAGATATATATGATACGGCTAAAGGTATACGTATATATACCTTTACACATACAAAATCAAACAACAACAGTATTGCTAAGTATATACGCACATCCGCCACACATACCAAAGTAAGTAGCATCCATGGCCTTTACACATACAAAATCAATACAACATATATATATA